TGAACGAGCGTCCAGATGCAGTCTCAGATGAAAGTCTTGATGGTTTGAAGGTTTGGTGGTGTTGGAATTGTGATCACGTTCTTCTGGGTTTGAAGAGTGACGCACTCCAAAGGATGTTATTCAGACTCGGTGGTGGTCGGGAGAGTTTTCTCCCAGATGGAAAGTGAAGACATGGCTGTAGTGGAGGCCTGCCCTGGGACTTAGCAACCAGAAGACAAAGCGGAAGATGGGAAGGTGATGAGAGAAGAGACTGAGTCAAAAGCTAGGCAGGTCACTGATGTGAGGCCTTTCAACTTCTATGGAGGTCACACCTCTGGGAGGTCAAAGAGTCAATGTTGACACTTTTGGATGGAAAGTTTAGGACTCTGTCTTCGAGCGTGGTATTTAACACCAAGATTTCTTTACACCTTCATGGGATATGTAATAAACTGACTGTAGTGACGGCACTGATGAAAATGATGGAATGAACCAGAGTGATCCTTCTCATGTGATTATAAATATTTTAATTTTAAAATCATACACCGTTGACTCCACTAAGACAATATAACCAAAATGGCCATTAAAATGTTTGTTAATTTATTTATGCATAATTTAACTAATATTATAAAAGGAGAAAAATACATTTCTTATCTGATGATGCACCTAAAGTAAATAGTCTATATAAACTCTGTATGACTTATTTCTCAGAATTGGATTTTCATATCTCACAATTGCCAGTATTTCTTGACAATTTTATCAGTCACAAATGTAATGTGAGTGTATAGATAGATAGGACCATAATATAAGAGAAAGTTGTCAGGTAACATTCTCCTCTCTCTTGATAACATAAGTCACTCAAGGTTAAGATGCGGCAATCACAAGCCAGAACCAAACAGCACAAAGTAAAGGTAAAGCTCATGTTTACAATTTTATCAACCACAAGTTCTAACTCACTAAGTTAGTTAACTAACATGTAGTAGCAACAGCATTCTGGCTGAGAAATTTCTGCAACAAACAATGTGTTTCTGTAACTCCATAATGTTGCTTTTGCCTTTTTTTTATTTATTTTTTTAAATGAAGATGATTTGGGCACCTGTGGCAAGTGGTTCATCGAAAGACCCTCCAAGCAACATTACTATGAAGCATATACTGGACAAACAAGTATGAAATATTGACATAGGAAATTATAAAACTAAAATTAGAATTAGAAATACAACAACTTAAATAAGAGAAAACTAAACTGAAGCTGGAGCTACGCATTCTCAGATATGGAGTGTAGATCTCACTGGCCATTGTCCAAGAATGAATTCATCAGTTAATATATGTTGAGGGTGTTTGTTAATTTCTTTCAGTTTTATAGTGTTACTGTAAGGCAATTCTACATAGAGTAATGCTAATCTGAATACAAATCTCTGCCATTACAGTATTTTCACCAAAATGTGTCTGCTTTTTATTAATTTTTCTTTTTTCAGGAAAAGGAGTTTGGTTTGCCAAAAAAGACTGGCCAAATGGGCTATTTGATTGTTTTTTGACCTCTGTGTGTCACTAAAACAAAATAAACTTAATTAAACTTTTTTTTTTTACTTTCTTATTGACAGTTAAAGGACACCTGAAATTGGGCTAGTTTTGGGCTGGTTTTGAGTAGTAATTGGCCAGTTGCTAAAGCACTTTTAAGATGATGGTTGCTTACTGGAAAGGGATAAATAGAACGCAGTGTGTTCTTTGTATTTGTTGTGCAATGCTTCTTTTTGAACACAAGGTGGTGGTGTTAGTGTTAGTCAAAGCGAAACATAAACTGAACTACTGGGAACCTGCATGTTTATAGTGCCAGTGTTTCAGTGTCTTGTGAAACAGGGTTAGATAGAGGAGAGTCAGTAACATTTTTTAAAAAGGTGAAATTGGCTGCCAGGAAAACCCTTCCCTGATTGAATGGGTTGTATGGTTTACCACAGATGTTTCATTTGTGATACCTTAGAAATTAACTTTTTTTCCGGTTAATATTGTATTAATTTTTCTCCTCATTTTTTAAAGAAGTAATTTTGCATATACTGCAAGCCCTAAATAGAATCTCCTGTGCCTATAAACACTATCAACACCTCTTAATCGTTATTCTTTGACATAATGCTTTATGCTTAATTTCTCTCATTAAGTCATATAATTACATGATTAGCCTGTTCCTCTTTTATTTTGATGCCAGATGCATTGTGAACATTTCCAGTGAAATGCTACTGTTCACTATGAAGACCTAGAAACGTTCCTTTCAAATCTGTATTATGAATACGAATCTGTAAAATTCCAGTCAAGACAAGAGCAAATGGAAATATTCAAGGGGGTGAAATATGCCTTGGAGCGAAGCGACGACCAACATTCACAGAATGAGAAAATATGAAAAAAAACTAAAACAGCGTAACTCTACCCAAAACTGGCTGAGCTCCAAAAATAAGCAGCCAGACAGGAAGATCCATAATGGAAACAGTCGAGAGGCCAATGGAAACCCTAAAGGAGTTACTGTAAAAAAAAAAAAAAATCTATATATCTACTGTTCATTCTGTTGTTCTTTCTATTGTTCATTCTATTTTATGTTCTGTATATCTATCTCTATCTATCAATCATTTATCTGTCGTCATTCAGGAAAACTATTTCTCACACTATAGCTGGATTTGCTCATGGGCGTTTTGGTGAAACAGATAACAAAAGGCGCATTATGTTTTCAGTTATACACTTTTGTTTAACTGTAATTGATTTCGTAATATATGTATTTGATTCTTTGACATTATAGACTGCTTTGTGTTCAAAAATGTGAACGGCTCTTAGTCAAATACATGATTTTGTGCTGTAACACAATAGTATGTGCTAAAACCAAAGGAGGTCAATACATTTTATTTGTAGTGTATATGCGACTGATCGAGTTCTAAGTTGATGTTTGCACATGCTAACTAAATAGCTCCATTTATAATGTTACAAAAGATTTCTATTTCAAATAAATACTGTTCTTTTAAAATTTCTATTCGTCAAAGTATCCTGCAAAAAAATTTTTTATCATGGTTTCCTCAAAAATAGGAAGCAGCACAACTGTTTTCAACACTAATAACAACACTAGTAACTAAAATGTTTCTTGAGCAGCAAATCATTATATTAGCATGATTTCTGAAGGATCATGTGACACTGAAGACTGGAGTAATGATGCTTTGCATCACAGAAATAAATTGCATTTTAAAATACAACAAAATAGAAAGTGATTATTTTAAATTGCAATAATATTTCACAATATATCAATATTTCACAAATGTTTATGGTGCCAACCATAAACATTTGAACACTAAATGTAATGATATTTGTGCATAATAAAATTTGATTTATTTATTTATTTTTACATTTTTTGACTACTCATATACTCATTGTGACTCTACGACTACATTTTTATGGCTAAAGTGGTTTCATTTGTACACTGTAAAAAAAAATCTGTAAAATTTACAGTAAAAAAACAGCAGCTGTGGTTGCCGGAATTTTACCGTAATAAATACAGTAGCAACGTTTTAGGTTTACGGTTTTAACTTAAATTTACAGTTAAATACCGTAATTTCATTAACTGATATAATGTTAATATACCAACTTATTGAAGTACTGAAATCTATTTTTGTACCTTTGTAATAACACTGATAATCACCAAATGCAGGTGGTGGTGATGAAAAAGTCACATGATGAACCAAAGCCCATCACAAGCAGCTTTTAAATAATAACATATCGAAGGTGCACCGTGTCATTTACACAAACACTAAACACCATCATGGTAACACACATGAAACTCAAATAATGCAATAAACATTCATTTAACAACATTAGGTGTAACACACAGCCCTAATATACAAAACTGATAAGAAAAAACTAAGAAGAAACAGTTATTTCAACAATTAAAAAATTGTTCACTTAAAAAAATTCAATATTACTTAACCAATGCACCCATGTTTTTTTTTTATTTTTTTTTTATAAAATCCAAATAAAAGGTGTCTAAATGTTGTTTGTTGTTTTAAGTTATGTTTTAAGCTATGCATCAGTATAATAACCATGCACTCACTCTCTAACACAGATAGCTGAGGAATAATCTACTGACAAGCAAATAGTCTATAATGTGTTTATGACTGCAACTTTCCTTTACTCCACGCATATGACTGTTATCTTAGTCTAGTATTCCAGATGTGTCAAGATCACAAAAATACGGATGTGATTTATGATATTTAGTTTTATGACTTCTGCCAGCCTTGAGAGGTAGGCTAGTTTGACAGGGTAGAGCAGATGTACATGTTTGCAATGGCTTATACAGTTTATCATATCAGTCATCCCATTATTATTGTTTGCCCACATGAATGATAGAAACTTGTGGAGCAGAATTGTTTGGGATGGGCGTGGACTGCGTTTGACCACGCCCTCGATTGTGCAACTCTTAAATCACACCACCGAATTCCGATTACGTCACGAAGCCCCGCCCACTCTACACATCCATTCATATTCGGATGGCTCAAGTTCAACCACCACAACACAAATATCTGGGTTCACCGCTTCTAAAGTATACATTTCCCCTCTGCGTCAAATGAACACGAGTCCATCTGCTTTATCAGAACTATTTATTTGATACAAACATCCACAATAAAAACCTGACCAACACAACAAACAGAAAAGTGAGGGGCTTTAAGCAGCTCACTGAGAGACTATGGAGAGCTCATTAACATTTTTACTGGCAGCTACTTTCTTCTGTCCTGTTCAAACAGGTGAGTAAACCAGTTGCCGTCTCTTTAGGAATCTTTAATGATCATTCATTATTTTTAACCATCATTTAATTAGTGTATAAATCTCTTTTAACCCATACAGAGATTGTTTTCAGCATCCTTCAGGTGTTAAGTGACATTCAGATAACATATTAAGCTTATTTTATATGCGATTTGTGAGTGATATTGTAATTTTAAATGTCACGAAGCCCCGCCCACTCTACACATCCATTCATATTCGGATGGCTCAAGTTCAACCACCACAACACAAATATCTGGGTTCACCGCTTCTAAAGTATACATTTCCCCTCAGCGTCAAATGAACACGAGTCCATCTGCTTTATCAGAACTATTTATTTGATACAAACATCCACAATAAAAACCTGACCTACACAACAAACAGAGCAGCTTATTGAGAGACTATGGAGAGCTCATTAATATTTTTACTGGCAGCTACTTTCTTCTGTTCTGTTCAAACAGGTGAGTAAACCAGTTGCCGTCTCTTTAGGAATCTTTAATGATCATTCATTATTTTTAACCATCATTTAATTAGTGTATAAATCTCTTTTAACCCATACAGAGATTGTTTTCAGCATCCTTCAGGTGTTAAGTGACATTCAGATAACATATTAAGCTTATTTTATATGCGATTTGTGAGTGATATTGTAATTTTAAAAGGTGGACCAAGATAACATAGTTACCAGTGTTAGCACTAGATTGTGGACAGTGAAATGCTAAGATGTTAAGGCTAAGTAAGATTATAAGGTGAAAAGCAAAAGTAATTCGATCAGTTCTCGATCTCTAGTACTTTAGCTTATCTCTGTGACCTCAAATGACTAAAATAACATAATTAATGTGTTGGATAATGTGTCAATTATGTGAAGCATAACTTATGTCTCCATCTGACAGGTGTGTTCACTTGTGAACCACGGCAATATCAGTGTGGCAATGGAAAGTGTATCACATCAAGATGGGTATGTGATGAAACTGATGACTGTGGTGACGGCACTGATGAACTTCCTGCTGCCTGCTGTAAGTGTTCCTCCATCTAAGACAAGTCAGTTGTCCCGAAGAAAAAGTATGTTGGTGAAACATTAATGATGCTAGGTGCAATTGATTTAAATGTGGTTAACTGTGTTAATACATAGAGGAAAATTCTACAATCTTATTGGAAGCTGAAAGAAAAGTATACATAACTCTTTTAAACTACATTTTGCTTAATTTTTTTTGTGGTCACAGGTTAAAAAATATATTCCCTAAACTGCCTAAAGGAGGTGGCAGTGAGTTTTATATAAGCTATCGCTGATATTAAAATTTGAATTTGAAATATACTGTATATATATATATATATATATAATATATATATATATATATATATATATATATATATATATACAGTTTATTCATTTTGAGATTATCCATTTTACATTTAAGAGTGTTATTACATTTTTAGTGGTGTTAACAACTAAATGAGCGCTAGGTTACCTAAGTGTAAAAAGGTAATATAAATGTAAAAATAAGCAGAAAAGAGCATGCACAATTAAATATCCAATATTAGCCAGCATCAAAAAAACATTTCCTCCTAATTGATATGGTTATATCACACACACCTAGCTAGGCACCACTCATATTTTTTTCAGAAAATGTAAAAATCGTATTTTTTGCCCTCTCTTTTCAGTGGCCAAGACCTGCAGACCCAGTGAATTCAGCTGTGGTGGGCGACTAAACCAGTGTGTGCCAAAGAGCTGGAAGTGTGATGGCAAAGCAGACTGTGAGAACGGTGCAGATGAGGAAGGCTGTGGTGAGTGATATCTTGAAGTCATGTGTATCTTCATGATGCTGCCAGTGTGCATGTATGTTTAAAATCTCCATCACCACTTACAGCTCCTCGGCAGTGTCGGGATGGCGAGTTCAGCTGCAGCAACAGCCAGTGTGTGAGTGCCGCGTTTGTGTGTGATGATGAGAGAGACTGCGATGACGGCAGTGATGAAGTTTCCTGTCCACCCACCATGTGTAGCTCCAGCTCTTTCAGGTGCAACAACTCACAGTGTGTGCCTCGACTGTGGGTCTGTGATGGTGATGCCGACTGTGCCGATGGCTCAGACGAATTGCCTCAGAAATGCGGTCCAGGGACGCCTAAACCTACCAAAAACCCCTGCTCCTCTATGGAATTCCATTGCGGCAGTGGGGAATGCATACACAGTAGCTGGAAATGTGACGGGGGAGAAGATTGCTTGGATCACTCAGATGAGAAAAACTGCTGTAAGAAATGAGACTTGTTGATGTTACATTTGTCAGTTTATCCTGCTATTCTTAAGGGAATGTTCCAGGTTCAATACAAGTTAAGCTCTGTCGAACTCAATACAGATAATCTTTGCGAGGTACACACAAGGATACCAGGAAGACTCGTTCTTTGAATAGCAGTACCACGACTGAAAAGATGATAAAGATAACTTCACAGCTCACATTTAAAATAGAAGGATACATGTACGCATGTTAATAGAAAAAACTAAATTCACATTTCTACTTTTAAGCCATCAGAAATGTCTTGCCCCTTAAGGGTTCCATTATAAATGCATTACTGTACATTTTTTCCAGTGATAATCTTTGTCTGTCCAAACTGAATGCAAAATCAAAAAATGCAATGTTTAATGTACAGTTAGTGGGAGCAGGATTGTGGACCAATTGAGATTTCACGTGTGCGGGGCTACACAGCAGAAATAGAAACCAAGCAATCGATAAATTGGAAGCTCGTCGTGGTCACAGCAGATACTCTTTTGCTTCTCACTTTATTACAATGTAACCTTAAAAGCATCAATTGCCATTTTATCCTCAAGACATAATGAACTATTTTTCTTTTTCCATATGAACAGCCTTGCCCACATGCCGACCGGATGAGTTCCAATGTGGTGACGGATCTTGCATCCACGGCAGCCGGCAGTGCAACCACGTATATGACTGCAGAGATTTCAGTGATGAACTGGGTTGTGTTAATGGTGAACCATACAAATTATACCTTTTACACAAAACTGATATGCAAAATATATGCTTTAGGTGTTATTCTGCTGTGTTTAACTTATATTTCTCCTTTCTGATTTTCAGCAACCCATTGTGAGCCACCACACAGGTTTAAGTGCCGCAGTGGTGAATGCATCAGCATGGAAAAAGTTTGCAACAAGCAACGGGACTGTAGGGATTGGTCCGACGAGCCATTACGGGAATGTGGTAAGTAAAAACGGCATTCAAGGAGGTGCATTGCCTAGAAATTCTTCTGAAGCCAACCTGTGGTACAGTATGTGATTTTCAAATTCACAGATTCTAACGAGTGTGTTTACAAAAACGGGGGTTGCTCTCATATCTGTAATGACCTGAAGATTGGTTACGAGTGCCTGTGTCCCACTGGCTTCCGATTGGTGGATAAGAGACGCTGTGAAGGTAAGAAACTGAAATTGGTTCCCATACTGAATCATAAGGAAATCTGGTCATAGTACGTTCCACAGACCTTGGTGCAGATCCAGTTCAAAGAGTGATTTCATTTGGACCTTAAACTTATTTGCTTTTTCTGAGCTGGAAGTAAGTTTAGAGTTCAGTAAGTCCATGCTGTTGCTGCCTGTCATGATTCAGTGGTGTTATGTACAGAATGACTATTTAACTTCAAGCCCACATTTTTGTTTGATTTCTTCAGACATTAATGAGTGCGCCAACCCAGACACCTGCAGCCAAATATGCGTCAACCAGATAGGAAGTTACAAGTGTGAGTGTGAAGATGGCTACCAGATGGACCCATCCAGCAAGGCTTGCAAAGCTATTGGTACAACTTTTAAACTTCCAAATATTGATTTCCCATAGTTGCATACTGACAAATTCATACTCACAAACATGGTTCTACAGGAACCATCGCCTACCTATTTTTCACCAATCGCCATGAAGTAAGGAAGATGACTCTGGATCGTAGCGAATATACACGTGTCATTCCCAGCCTAAAGAACACTGTGGCACTGGATATGAATGTTGCTTCCAGGGAGATCTACTGGTCAGATTTATCCCTCAAAAAGATATACAGGTAAAGAATGGATCTTTGGACTCATGGTCAGTCTTGGGTCTCTGAGGACCATTTGCTTGTTACCCAACTGACTAGTGTCATATTTTGTCTTTCTTTCCCAGAGCACCAATGGATACAGCAGATAACTCCTCCCAACACAGTGTTGTGATTGGCAGGGATTTACATGCACCTGAAGGTATCGCTGTCGACTGGATCCACGGAAACATCTACTGGACGGACAGTATCAAAAAGACCATCTCTGTAGCAACAGCGGACGGAAGTAGACGCAAAACTCTCTTCAAAGAAAACCTGGCCAAGCCGCGTGCTATTGTTGTCGATCCTATTAAGAAGTATGTCAAGTCCCAGAAACTCTAAAATGTAGAGATAAACTATGTAAGCAAGTGGTTTACTATATTAAATCTTCTCCAATTTGTTGTAGCTTCATGTTCTGGTCTGATTGGGGCACACCAGCTAAGATCGAGAGAGGTGGTCTTAATGGAGGGGACCGTCATGCCCTAGTTACAGATAACATTATCTGGCCCAACGGAATAACCCTTGGTATGAACTTGTCCACTTACATAACTGTCCACAAAGTGTACAATTTGTTAACTTCGGTCTGACCCACTTTCTTGTCTTGTCCCATGCCTAGACCTTTTGAACCGGCGTCTGTACTGGGTCGACTCCAAACTACACACTCTCTCCAGCATCAGCATGCAGGGAGATGGTCGGCGTACTCTGATCATTGACCAGGGCAAGCTTGCCCACCCTGTGGGTCTCACTGTCTTTGAGGTAACTCTTTCATACTCTTTTCAAACATGTTGACCTTGTTTAGGAGGTTACCTGTATGCTCACTCAAAAATTCTCCATTGTCATTTTTAGGAGAAAGTGTTTTGGACTGATGTGAGCAATAACGCAATTCTAAGCGCAAATCGTGTGACTGGAAAAGACATCACAAAAGTGGCCGAACACCTCTCATCCCCAGAGGACATTGTCTTGTACCACAACCTCAAGCAACCAAGTGGTATGTTGGCCATTATATAATCTTCCATTCAACGGTACCTTCCCAGTCACCATTCAGCGAATTGATTTTCTATCCAAGATGTGAAATAGTCTTCAGTGTAGTTCTGAATGTATTCTAAATGTCTTTCCAGGAATCAACTGGTGCAGGGTCAACAATGGTGGCTGTGATTTCCTGTGCCTGGCTGCCCCTCAAATCAATAGATTCTCACCCAAGTACACTTGTGCCTGCCCAGACAACATGATGTTGGCCAGAGACATGCGAAAATGTGTTCAAGGCAAGTCAGATTTGGTGCTTGCTGTCAGGACATGGATATAAGATTTTGTATGTAATTCCTGCTGATTTCTACATCCAGTGTTTGTGTTTTTATTTTGAACAGCTGTAGTCACACCAGCACCTCCTGCCAGGCCCGAAATAGTTACAACTAGTCGTCCTCAAGTACCTTCAAAGACAACACCAAAACCTGCTGGCCCTTCCACTACCAATGTGCAACCTTCATCTACTCCTGCTCCTGTGATCCCTAACCATCCCACTCAAGCTGCCCCTATCAAGCCTTCCCAAACCACAATTAAACTTCCTTTATCCACCCAGACAGGTATGTCTTGCTTTGTCCACCCAGACATCTTCTCCTTTTCTTAAGCAAATTAGACAAACCCAAGCCCCAACCCTAATCTCAAGACCAGACTCCTGAAACCTTCAAGATGATCTTACAGTTTTACTGAAATGTGTGAAATCTGTTTTACAAGTTATCTTGATTTTTCCTTAGATGACCACAACAGTATTGTTAAAGCTGTGTCTGAACCATCATCTTCCACACCGTTGGCCTTGTATATTTTGCTTCCTCTTGGTGAGTGCTTCAATGCTAATGCTTAAACAAGCAATGTGAAAGCAATGCGTTGTGTTCTGAAAGCTAGTGAGTTACTAACAAAGGGAGCATTTTAAGACATTATGTAGATGCACACAAAGGCTGTTCCAAGAGATCGGTAACATAAAGGTCACAATGTAACATAAGTAGCAACAGATCTTTTCTTCCGTATTATGACGTACATCTAAGTGAAATCAATTACTGAAAAGGATCAAATATAGACTGGTTCTGTTTATTAGTTGTTGTAGCTTAGCAACATGCTAATGGCAAGCTCTATTAACATCAATCTTCAAAAATGATCACTTCTATTCTCTTTTCTATTCAATTGCTTCAAAACTCCCATTCTAATTTGAATGTCTCATCTTCTTAAAGCAATCCTATGTTTGGTTGTGGGTGGTGCTGTGCTGTTCTGGAGAAAATGGCATCAGAAAAATACTAAGAGCATCCACTTTGACAACCCAGTTTATCAAAAGACTACAGAGGACCAGGTGCATCTTTGCAGAAACGGCAGTTCAGATGGCTATTTTTACCCACAGGTACAATATACTTTATAAAACAATACATACTGGCTACACAGCAACATATTCATGCTAGCATATTAGCCTTAGCTAATGTCTTAAAGCATTGTTAACTTTATCGGTTTACTAATTAAGACTTCTTAGACTACTGTCTGGTATATTAGGTAATTACTGTGTCTAATAAAGTCGTGGGGAAGTCGTGGCCTAATGGTTAGAGAGTCGGACTCGTAACCCAAAGGTTACCGGCAGGGATTGTAGGTGGGGGGAGTGAATGTACAGCGCTCTCCCACCTTCAATACCACGACTGAGGTGCCCTTGAGCAAGGCACTGAACCTCCAACTGCTCCCCCGGTGCCGCAGCAAAAAATGGCTGCCCACTGCTCCGGGTGTGTGTGTGTGTGTGTGTGTGTGTGTGTGTGTTCACTGCTTTGTGTGTGTGCACTTTGGATGGGATAAATGCAGAACACTAATTCCGAGTATGGGTCACCATACTTGGCCACATGTCATGTCACTTTCTTTCTTTCTAATAATGATGGTCTTATTTTGCTTTCACAGAGACAGAGTATAAATTATGAAATATGATGACATTGAGGTCCATGCCAAAACAGACAACGTTTCCATATTTGAAGTCTTCCGTGCTTGGAGGTCAGTTCTAGAGTAAAACAACATCTGGGAAACAGTGGAGATACAAACCTCCTTTTTACACAAGGCATTTGATGCAAAAAACAATCCAGAGCTGACGGTTGACGCGAGACAAAGAATAAAAAAATCCTCAGACAACAACAACCTCAGCTTATCAAGGCTGCTTAGCACTTCACTTTATATAAATTATACAAAAAATTATGAATATAGATATTTTAACAGCACTTAAAAATCAAGGTTTTATTCACATGAGAGGTACATGGATACGTTATTGTAAGTATTGCATGTATTTTAAATGTTGAAAATGATTTTTTTTAAGGAGATTTTTTTGCAGGGGTAAAAAACATTGCATACTATTTTCCCCAAAAAATGGTGTAATTGAATTCATAGGTTAAAGGCACAATATGTAATTTTCGCCGCTAGTGGGCGCGTAGTCAAAAAAGGCGTAGTTTGATGACGCCGTGACTGAGTGTGGAATCATGGGAGTTGTCGTCTTCATCCCCACAGCCGATGCAATCCGACGGGACTCAGGCAGAAATCATGTTCATGGATGAGCTAATGATTTATTAACATAGTAGAATGAAGCAGGGTGAGGCTGAAAGCCGTCGAAGCGAAACGAGGCCGCTGAACGAGCGCGACACACGGCTCGAAAGCAGTGGAGCTTTTATTATGCCACAGTCGACCGCTTCCGCTCCTTCCAGTCGTGCGTATGTGGGGTAAAGCAGCGGAGCTTTTATTATGCCACAGTCGACCGCTTCTGCTCCTTCCGGTCGTGCGTATGTGGGGTAAAGCAGCGCTGTTTTATCACACTAGATGCATTTGAAATTTCTGTTATAATGCTACTCTGTGCGGTCGTCACCGGTCTATTAAAACGCACAACATATTAAAGCGTCTTTGGTGTTTTCGGAAACCGAGGGGTTTTGACGTCTTTGGCAGGCGACACAATGACACTATAGACACGCTCCGTGGCACTAGTTAAAATTACTTATTTCTCTGGATTTATACATTCTTCGAAACATTTGGGATAGTGTAAGTACACAAGTCAGCAAAATATATAACACTGTTCTAGTGGTTTTGGGATATTTTAATAAAAAAAATCTTGCATATTGTGCCTTTAATTAAAGATTCAGTACATTTAAATTTGTACATTTAAAAATGAACCATTTACTGTCATGAGCTGTGCAGAGTTGGTTTTGCTAATGTTTTATGCCGTCGTTTATACCATTTGCAGTCATCAAGTTCTTATTTTTGTGTCAAAATGGTCAATGTTACTTCTGAAACTGGAAGTTCACGATAAAAAGACAGCAGCTCGATATCTGGCTGCTTTCTCTTATGCAGTATTGATATTGAGGTCACTATTATAAAGTTCCTCGTTATATCAGATTCCAGTGATTTTTCTATGATTTTACTGCAGTGAAAATGTGGGTGATTCGTGCCGGATACTATTCAGGGAGATTTTTATTACAAACATGTTGTAATCAAGATGGTGTGTCAATTGTTTTACATTCTCAATGTGAATGTGTAAATAATGTATGTAAATATGTTTATTATGGCATATTTTGCTTTTGTATTTTTTAAGTATGCAGTATTGTATATAAAGAAATGTTTATTTATTTTTTTTAATCTAAATCTTTGGTTGATAATTGGCTTCCTTTGCTGTGTACTATGTCAGCTGTTCATTTGTAAAGAATTTATAATATGTTTCTGTACATTCCGATTGATTAATTAATCTAGTAATGCATTTTCTGAAAAGCCAATCACAATTGTTCTTTACCTGTGTGTAACCCCAACTTGAAATAAACAATGTGAAGATTTCACTTGACTGTAGTTGTGTCTGTCATGAAACAAACATCATTAGCTTTTCCAGGGTTATTCTTAAATATTAATCCAAATAAGATCCAATATTCCAGTATAGTTTAGAGCTGCAAAGGATGAAACTGTTCATAGCTTCAGTAAAATGAAGTTAGAATAAAAAAACACCAGCCCTGTGAGGATCAGTTTCAGCAGATGAGAAGATCAGTGGTCAATTTCTTTTCCCAGAGATCTGCTGAATGTATCCCTTCATATGGAGCACTTGAGGCCCAGGCTGAAAACGACTAATGCAAAATATCAACATCACAAAGGCAGCTGTAAATGTGAACCTTAAGGCCTTATATTACACGTGACTGTGCTTATAAATAAGACCACTTTCCTACTGGATGCACATTATTCAGGTAGGTGTAGAGTGGCCCATAAAACCACAAAGGAATGACAGTAAAGCCATGACTTCTGGAATTCTAGGAAAAGAGGTGATTTCCAGGAAAGTGAATTCAAGGAAAAGCTCACATATCAGTTTTCCAAACACACTTGCCCCACAGCATGACACCATGATATACCGCCATCCTGGGAAAAGTGGGCCATGGATTAGTTGGGGCCGGTGGGTGGGTGGACCTCTATGACCTGTACATGTTTTTGACTAAGGCGACTGGGCAAACAGCTCTGCCTCCAACATGTTTTGTTATCACTCACGTTTCTGGGACTTCTTTGAGTGTTGTGTGGGGCGGCCAGAAAACCAGGCATGGAATGAGGTGGGTGGGATTTCATGTGGCAGCTTTATTTTACAGGCAAAGCTCAAAGTATGCATTTTTAGTGGTTAGATAAAAACACATTCCTTTGTATTAATCTTTCTAATTTGGCCATCTAGTCTATCTACTGTACTTACATCTAAAAATGTGTGTATATATATATATATATATATATATCACCAAGGCTGCATTTATTTGATCAAAAATACAGTAAAAACTGTAATATTGTGAAATATCACTACAATTTAAAACATCAGTTTTCTATTTGAATATATTTTCAAATATTTAAAAATTAGTCCTCAGTGTCACATGATCCTTCAGAAATCATTATAATATGCTAAGTTGCTGCTCAAGAAGCATTTCAAAGTCAAAATCAATTGTGCTGCTTAATATTTTTGAGGAAACTGTGACTTTTTTTCAGGATTCTTCATTAAATAGAAAGTAAAAAAAAAAAACAGCATTTTTGAGTCACTGAGTGAACAACATTTTGTTTGTTAAGTGTGCAGCATATTCAGTGGACATAGTGATGACTGGCCGTTCACCGAACAGCCTTTGTTGGATTTGGTGATAAAATACACTCAGCTTTCTATCATCATTCTATCATTTACACAACTGATCATTGAGAGTAGGGGACAAGGAAATACAATTATATATACAGTGGGTACGGAAAGTATTCAGACCCCCTTAAATTTTTCACTCTTTGTTATATTGCAGCCATTTGCTAAAATCATTTAAGTTCATTTTTTCCTCATTAATGTACACACAGCACACCATATTGACAGAAAAACACAGAATTGTTGACATTTTTGCAGATTTATTAAAAAAGAAAAACTGAAATATCACATGGTCCTAAGTATTCAGACCCTTTGCTCAGTATTTAGTAGAAGCACCCTTTTGATCTAATACAGCCATGAGTCTTTTGTGGAAAGATGCAACAAGTTTTTCACACCTGGACTTGGGGATCCTCTGCCATTCCTCCTTGCAGAGCCTCTCCAGTTCTGGCAGGTTGGATGGTAAACGTTGGTGGACAGCAATTTTTAGGTCTCTCCAGAGATGCTCAATTGGGTTTAAGTCAGAGCTCTGGCTGGGCCAACTGCAAATATTAAATCACATTTCCTGGCATATTAAACATCAACTTGATCTATAATTGTGCGAAAAAGTTATGCTACTCTTTATTTACATTACATTGCTTTATTCTGTATTCTACTTCTATGTTTACTTTTTTTTTCTTAGCCATAACTACAAGTTAAAGAAAGGAAGTCAGAGCCTAATCAACAATGAACTGTGTCAGAGAACATCAAAGCAGTGAATAATAAGCAAAAGCTGAACTCTCAACTTCTACTTATGTTTTCTTATGTACCTTGGCCTATACGTAGAAAACAGAATTGTTTTCCTTTCTCTGTAATCGCGGTTAGTGCAACACTGAGTCAGATGCAGGGGCCAGAGCAGGGGCCGCAGAGATGATATGACAGATATTTGTGTATTATTATTATTAATAACATTATTTGTATAGGAAAAACGTTAACATTAGGATTAACATTAATTAACATTATGTATAATTAATTATAAATTAATATTATTATATTGTTTTACACAATTATTTGAATTATTTCAATATTGTTATTATTATTATTCATTTTAAATGTTCATGATATTCTGCCCTCTAGAGGTCTGACCGGACGACGAAGTCACGTGGACGAAGAAAGACGCACGTTTTTATCCAAAAATCTAAAATAAACCGTCTAAATCTGAGACGAATGGACTGTTTTAATTTCTACGAAGAAAAAAAATTGTTAGTTGAAAAATAATCCGCGATAGGAGGAGCTATTTGAACCGCGAACTCTATTACGCAGGAGGGTCATAGGTCACGTGCCCATGCCGCGCGGCAAAGCAACATGTCCAACGTGAGAGTTTGACTTATTGAGATATTAATCTGATTGCAAATCACAAGGTGCTGTGTCGATGTAAACGATCATGTCGGACCTCAAGATTAATTCGAAGTTCGCGGAAAAATATGAGAAATATCGTCAGAAAGAAGAACTACAGAGACGTAAGTTCTTCCACTTACACTAGAAACACAAGCACGGGCTGTTTACTACACTCTTAAATATGAATAATCTGCATTTTAATAAGCCAATATGTATATTTTATGTGATGAATATGTTCAATTATCCCTATATCGATTTTAAACATCAAACGTGCTATGACATGCTTCTTTTTGTGTATGTGTTGTCGAGAGGTTTAAGTTATGTTTATATATTATATATATATATTGCATATATTCATAAAGATAAGCTAATTAAACCTTTTTTTACTTTACAAATTCAACAATTCACCATGGTAACATAATTACGTTAAAATTGGCATATTTACTAACAGTAAAGCTGCGTTAGTTTCCTAATATCCACAAATGTTAATAAGCTTGTTTTATATATCTGTCTATTTATATATTTTTATGTTACAGTAACAAATAACAATGTAGGTAGTACTTTCACTGAGGCACGAGACAAAACATGTCCCACAAATGTGACATTCTGCTAGATATCTCTATTTGTGTTATGCAGGCAATCATGCATTTCATTTTTGAATGAACTGTGCTGTTAAATCTGTCAAATGAATGCTAAATCAAGGTGTTTATGGCAAATGTTCCAGTGAAGGATCGCTACGGAGACCAAGATCAGGAGAATTCATCAGACTCCTCCGACTCTGACGCTGATGAGAGTGAAGTGGTAAAATATCCTCTCCCTTTTTTTTTGTTTCAGAACCTTTTGCCAACTTGACACCCAGATTTCCGTGTTTAATACTCTGATAAATGAATTTATAGGAGCTGGACCCAAAGCTGGACAGGGATTTTTACAGAACGCTGTCACTGCTGAAGAAGAAAGATCCAAAGATCTATCAGAAAGATGCCAAATTCTACACGGAAGACAGTATGAATGATAGCTTCTTTATATGCTTTCTATTCCAATTAAAGACATGCATATATTAGGAGACTGTACTGCTTTCATACTCTGTGAATTGTCTTAATAAACAGCATCTGGATCAGGCAGCGACGATCAACCGTCCACTTCAAAAAAGTCAGAGAAGCCCATGTTCCTGAAGGACTATGAGAGGAAAGTGGTCCTGGAGAGAGGAGGGTAGGAAATCATCTGTTTATAAATGATAAAAGGTGTGGCTGCAATGATCCTCTTTATATTTCTTTCAGTAGTTGTTTTCAAGCTGAAGTAGTGGAAGCATATTAATGAAAATGAATTATTTATTTATTATATATTTAGATTACTGATATTGCCTCTAATGTGATTGTGTAATATAATTGAATGTAATCCATTTTAGAAAATATGATGATGATGAGGACGACAGTGCTGATGAAGAAGTCTCCAGAAAGATGCAGGAGGTAATTACACTTAAGATGTTTCATTTTTCACCATGGACTGAAAATTGACCTTGTTTACTTTTTATCACGTTCTTAAACTTACTGTGTACAATTCATGTATGGACATTATTCCTAATAAAAAAATACCTTAATATTATTTTATTAAATACAAATATACAAATTATAGTTTTTGAATAGATTTTAAGAATTAATACAATTTTTGTCAGTGCATTGTCCAGCATGTTTTAGTATTAAAGGGGTCCTATTATGCTTTTTCAAGTTAGTCTGTAATGTTTGAGCATAAAAAAGATCTGCAAAGTTACAACGCTCAAAGTCCACTTCAAAAGGAGATATTTTATTTAACAGAAATCACTTTTCAAAAACTACAACGAACGACTTGTTTGGACTACAACGCATATTACGACGAATGGGACGAGACCTGGTTGAGTTGCACTAGAGAAGGCAGTGAGTGTTATCACTATGTCTGAGACACGCTAGCTTTCCCAAGGCAGACGACCATAGAGTGGTTACATCCGGGTTTAAATCGCGCTCAAATTGATTTGATTTTGACGCAATATTTACACTGAAGCTCGCAGGCAGCTATGGTAAGGGACATGATAGCCCAGCTAACCAATCACAACACACACTGACCCAGCTAACCATTCACAGCACACACTGGCCCAGCTAACCATTCACAGCACACACTGGCCCAGCTAACCAATCACAACACACACTGGCCCAGCTAACCAATCACAGCACACACGACACTGGCCCAGCTAACCAATCACAGCACACACTGGCCCAGCTTAACCATTCACAGCACACACCGGCCCAGCTTAACCATTCACAGCACACACTGGCCCAGCTAACCAATCATAGCACACACTGGCCCAGCTTAACCAATCACAGCACACACTGGCCCAGCTAACCAATCACAGCACATTTCGTATTTCAGAAGGCGGGCCTTCATTTGATACAGGAACTATTCGAGCCGTTCATGCCAGACTGGGGAGAGAGGTGTTGTAATAATGTAAAATATGTGGAAAATAATGTGTTTTTCGAACAACTTAGTATGAGAGCCTGTTCTAGTACACCCCCAAAACAAAATCAAGACTTTGTAAAAGAGCATAATAGGACCCCTTTAAATGGATCAAAATAATTTATTTTTTGTAGTTGTTGTTGAATATTCTGTTTTATATTGAAATGTTACATTGCAGAAGTAAAATGGGTTGTGAATGCAGTTTCATGTTTACTTTAAAGTTTGTAGTTTTGGATGTCAAAGGGTCTGTGAAGAAGCGTTTTTAGGATCTTGACATTTTAGGAATGACTGAGAAAAACCATTCAAACGGAAATGGACTTGTTTTTTTTTATTTAAGATGTTTCTCCACTCATCAAAGTGGCTTCTTCAGTATCTGAAACGGCTTCACAACTAACATATAACTAGATAATATGTTTGGGTTTGTATTACAGAGAGCTGCTTCTCCCACCTATATCCAGGAACAGAGGGAACTACAGGAAAGGTAAGAGTTTTAACGCTAGACTGGAGGTTGTGTTTGCACCATTATCCATTCGGCTCAGGTTACTTAACGTATACCATAACTATACAATAACTTAGCTGTCTATGTAAGATTTATCTATGTTGATTTTAAAGGGATAGTTCAGTCAAAATGAAAATTCTGTCATCTACTCTCCATCATGTTGTTCCAAATCTGTATGACTTCTTACCTGTAAGGAAAGAAAGACATATGGATTGAAACTTCATGAGAGTGAGTAAATAATGACAGTTGTTTCATTATGGATGAACTGTTTGGATAGCATTACAATGTTTCACTTGAGTCTATATTTTAATTGGACAGTTTTCGAAAGTTTGTGCGAGACAGTGAAGATGGGGACAGTGATGGTGACGGACAGCTGCTGACACGGAGAACCAAAACACAAGAGGAGAAGGTGCTGAGATTGATATTCTCTTCTTTAAAAATGCCGTTAAAGAAGGATAATGGCTAACCATGTAGATTTGATCATAAACCCTTTGTGCTTGCCTTTTCCTGCTTTCTGAAGGACAAAGAGGAAGCCGACTATGTGGAATGGCTGAAGGGTCAGGCGGAGCTGGAGGGGGGGGAGGAGGAAGTTAAGGACATGGTCAGTGTTTTGCTTTGGTTTTAAGATATTTTATGATGAAACGATGCATAACTAAAGGCCTTACTCACTCTTGCTCTTTTCTGATCCAGAAATACCTGCGCGACTACTGGAACAACCCTGAGCTGGATGAGAAAGAGTCTTTCCTGCGAGATTACATGCTCAAAAAGGGCTACCTGGAGGAGGATGAAGAAGATAGGTGGGTTTTGTCTGTAGTAGTACAAAATTGAGTCAGTAAGAGATGAACGTGCATGAATAAAAAGCCTTTTAAATGTGAGCCCTCTATTACGGAAGTCCTAAGAGGCCATGGATTATTCATATTTTTCTTTTTTGTTTTCTCGTGATCACGACATAACGAAGGTTTTTTTTTTTACACGATTGATTTGTTTGATATTTTGTTGCTAAAGTAACAAAGGCAACGACTCGCATCTGATCGGCAGATAAACCATGCGCTCTTATACTGTATGTTGTGGATATTTCAGCAAATTTTGCTTCGCTTAGTAATAACGTCTTCAATACATAAATAAAGGCTAATCAATCACTGTTTATATTTTTCCAGAGATGGTACGCTAAACATTTTGTTTGTGTAATTAACATGTTTATATGGTCAAAGCAACACCGCAAACACTTCAGAAGGATGCAGAGACCTATTCTAAAAATCTTTTAGAGCTGCTTGGTTTCCTTTTATTTGAAATAATGATATATAATTTGTAATTTTTAGTAGTCATGTAGGATATGCTGTGACTGATATTATAACTTACAAGCTTGGGATGCTGTTTGAAAAGTGTGTGTGTGTGTGTGTTTTCCACAAAGAAATGTAGAAAATACAAAAGATTACAACATTAAATTAGCCTATACACTTTACATATAAATCACATTTCTTATCAATATACATTTAATGATTAACAATAAAGATTAAAAATAAGGAAAATGCACATTACAAATACATTGTTGATAAACACAACATCCCCGCTTATTAACTAACAATCATGTACTTCAAAAATGCACAAATAAAGATATACAAACGGAATACAAAGACGTCAACCTTGGTTTTAATAAGCAGTTAGTTTATGACACGGAATGCGGTGGTGAAACAAGCAAGAACTTAACGATACACAATAATCATATTGATTCAAGCATTTAACATTTATGAATTAATTAAATGTCAGTAATGTACAATACTGCACAAATTATAGCGATCACAAAGAAGGTCCTTATTCTGTCCCAAAGGCGTACAGTAAAGTGGATATACAGTATACAACATCTAATCAGTTATAGTTAGTTCTGTACTGCCACCTGTTGGCACAGTTGTGTAACTTAGAGAACAATTTTTGTTATGTCGAGATCACCAGAAAATATTAAGTCGTGATCACAAGAAAACAAGGAAGAAAAAATATTAATAATCCATGGCCTCTTAGGATTTACATACTCTATATGTTTCTTACAGGATTATTTGATACATAGAAGGTTCAAAAGAGTGGCATTTATCTTTTGTAACATCAGTTTAATCCATTCTTGCTGAATAAAAGTATTAATTTCTTTCTTTTTTTTTATCTTACTGTCCCCAAACTTTTGTATCTCTGTATGTGTGAATGGTTTTAGGATCCCCACCTATAATGAGATGATGCAGGATGATGTGGATGACTCGGAGGAAGAAGGAGAATCATTCCTGCATAAACAGGAAGACTTTGAGAGGCATTACAACTTCCGCTTTGAGGAGCCTGATGCTGGAAAGGTAAAAGGATGTCAACATCAGCCTGATTTGTCATTACCACTTTGTTATATGGCCACACGAGTGTCTCTGTGAAGAGCAAAGCTCTTTTTTTTATAACATTACCCATCAAACCACTGTTCCTCCACAGATCAAAACATATCCTCGCAGCATCGCCACATCTGTCCGAAGCAAAGATGACAGAAGAAAGATGAAGAGGGAGGAGGTTAAAGAGAGGAAGAAAAAGGTCAACTAACCATACTACTTTTTTCAGGATTCTTTGATTAATAGAAATTTGAAAAGAACAGCATTTGAAATAGAAATCTTTTGTAACAATGTAAAAGTCTTTACTGTCACTTTTGATCAATTTAATCTCCTTGCTGAATAAAGATATATATTTCTTAAAAAAAAAAAAACTAACTTTTAACAACTAATTATTCAACAACTACTGTACATCAAACCTCATTTATTTTCACACTTAATGTGACCAAACAGCATCAAAGAACTAAGGACCAGTGTTGGGGAAAATTACTTTTAAAAGTAATGCATTACAATATTGCGTTACTCCATAAAAAAATAACTTGTTACGTTACTTTTGAGTTACTTTTTAAATCTTTGGATAAAAGCGTCTGCTAAATGACTAAATGTAAATCTGGACAGGGCTTGCTTGTTCGTTTTTAAAATAAAATAAATCAAATTCAATTTTTGGCAAATATAAAAGCCTTTTCACACCAAAAGTGAAATGAATAAGTCTCAGGCTGAAGGGAAAGTAAATTTACGTCCGTACAGTAGAATGCAGAAGAAGAAATTTCAACACACTTCAGCAATAAAAAAAGACACACAAATGTTTGTCTAGAGTAATTTTT